AATAAGTTAATAGTTAAGTTCTTTACAAACTATTCTGGCATGACAGTAAATAAACCACAACATTAACATTGATATTATAACATTTATCAGAAACATATGTGTGAAAGAATGTGAGCATGTGTATGAATGACTGAGTGAGTGTAAACTCCATTTCCACTAAACAACAACACAGAACACGCATTTAACATTTTGTTTTTTACAAATTATACACTTACAGTTGTGTGAGAGTGCCAGAATGAATTATAGCTTGTACGGTCCCTCATATATATATTTTTTTTTTCTTTTTTTTTTTCTTTTGTTAGGTTTCTTCACCTCAATGAATTCTCCACTTCTTGTGGTATTTTAGAAATCATTTCCCCTCAATATCATTTACCTTTTAGCTCTGTTGTCCAGTCATACAGGTGTCATCTGAGACACTTAAAGGGGTCATCGGATGCCCATTTTCCACAAGATTATTATGTTAATATGATTCTTTAGGGTCTTAATGAAAAGTATATAACATACTTTGGTTAAAATTTCTCAATTGTTGCATAAAAAAACACCTTTTTTTACCCTGTCAAAATCAGCTCTTGCAGACTGTAAACTTCAGCCGCGAAACTTGCTAACTAGCACATGTTAGGAAAGGCGATTTGCAAAGATTCATAAAAAAACCCTTATACTCACTTCTTCTGTAAATTAAGCTGGATCACGAATGATTCGCGCGAACATAGATGCATTTAGGCAGATCAGGGGCACATTCCCTTCAAAAATGAAAGTAACGTTAATCCTCTGCATCTTCAGCGGCTCAGATGTCGGGAGTAAATGACGACTGCTATGTTCATTATTACATCCAACAACAAAGCACCTCAATCACTTAATCAGAGACATTCTTGTCTTCCCCTGCACCGGAGTCGACTCAATGGTGGACTGATGACAGCTCACTCAGGGGGGGTCTAAGGTAAGACGGCCTTGTCAATCAACTGTCGTAGGAGGGGCCTGTGCAGAACTACGTCATTCTGACAGGAATCTCAGGACACGGTCCGACACTGTGGTCAAAAGCGTTTTTCAAAAATTGCTTAGTGCACCAGAGTTGACACAATGGCAGACAGCTCACAGCTCACTCAGGGCGGGTCTAAGGTAAGACGCTAGTGTCAATCAACGATCATGGGAGCGGCCTGTGCAGAACTACGTCATTCTGCCAGGAATCTCAGAACAGCCTGATTTGAGAAAGGGTATTTTAAAATAGGGATTTAAAAAAAAAACCCTGGGTGGATTTTTATCATTATAGGATGGCTGTTTACACACACTTCCAACACACAATTATGTTCAAACAACTTGTAAAGTGAATTTTGCATCCGATGACTAATTTGGAATCAGTTCTAATCAGTTGATTTTGAATCTTCAGATTCGATTCCCCCTCTGAAAAGAGCTAAAATAAAGAAATTCCTTACAGCAGCGTCCTCCTTTAAAACCACTGTTGCATCAGTTTGGGGGAAATGTCATTCTCCTCTTTGACCAGCATTCATCCCAGTCACCACCTGTTCTTCATCAGTGGCCTAAAAAGAGAAAAACATTTGAAAAAAGAAAACATTTAATTAAAATATATCCGTTTTCAGATAGAGGTCCACATCATGATGCATCCACATCAGTAAGGATAGGTAAATAGTCTGTTTTATAATTTCAGCCACTTTGTGTGGTTGTTTAATGTCTCTGTAATGGCAGCACTAGTGTGAGGGCATGTAATATTGTTTAAATAAATATATTGCTTTCAGAAAGCTACTTCTTTACTGAAACATTAAAACAGACATGACATTCACATACCTCACAAATTTTCATGTACGTGGAGCGCTGCTCTTTA